TTTTTCTTTCTTTCTTTCATTTTGAGATGGAGTTTCATTCCTGTCGCTCAGGCTGGAGTACAATGGCACGATCTTGGCTCACTGCAACCTCCACCTCCTTGGTTCAAGCCATTCTCCTGCCTCAACCTCCTGAGTAGCTGGGATTAGAGCCATGCACCACCATGCCTGGCTAATTTTGTATTTTTAGTAGAGACAGGGCTTCTCCATGTTGGTCAGGCTGATCTCTAACTCCTGACCTCGGGTGATCCACCCGCCTCGACTCCTGAAGTGCTGGGATTACAGGTGTAAGCCACCCTGCCCGGCCTCCCTTTCCTTATTTTTCTGGCCAGGATACCACCCAGGTTAACTTAGTTTTCCTGTCTTTTTTATTTTTATTTTTGACAGAGTTTTGCTCTGTCACCCAGGCTGGAGTGCAATAGTACAATATCTGCTTACTGCAACCTTCACCTCCAGGGTTCAAGCGATACTCCTGCTTCAGCTTCCTGAGTAGTCCTGAGACATGAGCCACCACACCCAGCTAATTTTTGTATTTTTGGTAGAGATGGTTTTCACCATGTTGGCCAGGCTGGTCTCGAACTCCTGACCTCAAGTGATCTGCCCACCTTGACCTCCCAAAGTGCTGGGATTACAGATAGTTTTCCTGTCATTTAAGGCCTCATTAATTCTCAGAATCCTACCTAGTTATTTTGTAGAATGTTCCTCAATTTATATTTGTCTTATGTTTCATCATGATTGGATTCAGGTTATACATTATTTGGCAGAAATAGCACACTTTTGATATTGTGTCTTTCCCAGTGCAATATCAGGAGGCACATGATGTCTTGTTACTGGTTATGTTAACTTTGACAACTTTATTAAGGCAATTTAGTATTCAGTATATAACAAGCAAGCATGCTAGTTTGTAGTCTTTTCTGGACAAGTAAGGGTTCCTTCTCCATTTCAATGCCTTTTCTACACCCACCAGTGCTATTAGTCACCTTCAAGGGGAAGACTGCTGAGATGGAATTATTTTTAGCAATGACAATAATTTGTTGGGGTAATAGTTGTGCAGCCTGTTGCCGCCATCTAAGCATTTTTACATGGTTTCGTTCATTTAAATCTAACAAACCAGTGAGGGGGCCAATTATTAGTATTTGTATTAAATGAGAAATTAGAATTCTAGAATCACATACCTATTTATTATCATGACATGGCTAAATCGAATTAATAGATAGTTAAATGGTTATTTTAGGCATCAGATCCTTTTGTATGTGGTATCTGAGAAGCCACTGAGGCAGGAGACAAGGGAAGAATTTGGGAGGATCTGCGTGCAGAGGAGTGGGAAAGAGAAAAGAGGAATACAATTAGAAATAGGATTCAGGCTGAATTCAAAGCCTTAGTGATGATGACGGGTTCTTAGGTTCGGGTATGTGGCAGAAAAAAACCAACTCGGAGACTACCTTCAGGGCAGAGCGGATTCTTTGCAGTGGGTAGGGGCTGGGCCCGGGATGGAGGGGTCGAAGGGCTCTGGCTGGACCCAGATGAGGGTGGGGCAGGGCAGAGTATGGGGGCGGGGATTTTCAATGACGGGCGGGGTTACGGTTGGGCAGCAGGTGGGCGTGGCAGGCATGGGCGGAGCCAATCTGTGAGTGGGTGGGCTTATAGCAAGGCCGAGGGTGGGCGTGGCCGACGTGGGGTGGGCCGCAGCCGACCGAGTCGGACCCGACCGTCGGGGCGCTTCCGGGTGTCACCTCCAGAGGGCGCCGGCCGCGGAGCCGTCCTCAGAGTCGCGAGGCCGGACGCAGCGCGGCGCCGACCCACTCGCCCCAGCCGCCGCCATGAAGGCCGTGGTGCAGCGCGTCACCCGGGCCAGCGTCACAGGTCAGTCGGGCGGGGCCGGGCCCGGGAGGAGCCGCCCCTGACCCCCACGACAGGCTGTCCTGCGTGGGGGTCCCTCCGCGCCATCCTCGGGGTCGCTGCGGCCCCTCCGCGAGCCTGGTTCCCGTCGCGAGCTCGGTCCCCGCAGCCACGAGTCCCCGGGGCCGGCTCCTGGGCAGCGCGGCGGCCGGAGAGCTCCTTGCACGTGCCCGGCCGGCCCCGGCGCGCCCCTGGCTTAGGGATCTCGGCAGCGGATGCCGGAAGAGCGCGCCTCATTCTCAGCACCTTTGTCCTGTGTGCCGGGTGGCGGAGCCTAGGAGCATCCCCGCAGCCCGCTCTTCAGGGAGTGTTGATGAACCACGCGTAGAGCATTTCCGGAGCAGGCATTCCTCCCTTTTCACTGCTGTATTTTAAACGTTCCATTTTTGCTCATTTTTACGTATTCCAATTTTTATGGGGCTTGACTCGGATGAAATGCACAGATGCGAAGAGTTGCTCCTTGGGCTGAGCTCTGATAGTTGCATGCACGCACGTGACCGGAGCCCAGGCTGGATGGGGGGCGCCCCCGCCAGGACACCCCTTGCCCTAGCTCGCTGAACCCTGTGCCAAGGGATCGGGATCTAAAGAATTGCGGATGAAACGTTTATCTTTTTCACTCATTTCTTGTGGACCATCCCACCCGACCACTAGTCATCACTTGAGAACCCTAGTCTCGGTTGAGCATCAGAGGTCCAGATGATTAGTGTAGATAATGTAGTCGTTTTAAGAAAACCAGGGTACAAAAGATATTTTTAAAAAAACATGGAAATGACAAGCTTTATATTGTCTTTAGTCTTTTCTGTCTTTATTGGCAGAAATATATTGTTTCAGTTCAGATAATTTCAGATATCCTCTCCTTGGAGCCAGTCTGCACCAAATATGTGTTCTTATGTTCACAAAAGTATGAATCTTAAAAACAAAACAGGCCGGGGGCGGTGGCTCACGCCTGTAATCCCAACACTTTGGGAGGCGGAGGCGGGAAGATCACTTGAGGCCAGGAGTTTGAGACCTGCCTGGTCAACATGGTGAAACCCCATCTCTACTACAAATACAAAAATTAGCCGGTATTGGTGGTGGGTGTCTGTAATCTCAGCTACTCCGGAGGCTGAGGCGGGAAAATCTCTTGAACCCGGGAGGTGGAGGTTGCAGTGAGCCGAGATTGTGCCACTAACCTCCAGTCTGGGCCAAAGGGTGAGACTCTGTCTCAAGAAACAAAACAAACAAAATCCTCCGAAACAAAAAAACAAAACAACGAAAACCCCTACAGAAATAACCAAACCCACCAAAACTATATATTTAAATCTGAGAGTCTACTTTTCACCCTGCCTAATGATTTCTGAGCTGTTCTGGTAACTTTGGTTTTGGCAATGGTCCTGGAATAATAGGGGGATAGAGTAGCACTAGGATTTCGGAATTTCAAAGGTTTTTAACAATTTTGGTAAATATTTAAATTCATGAAAACTGGGAAGATTAATAGATGAAAGATGTTTTGCTTTATTGAGAAGAATCGTACAGCCTCCTGTACTTTTGGGAGGCTGAGGCATGTGGTCATCACTGACAGATTTAAATTTTGATATTCTCTCTGCTAAACTCTCTATCCTGCTAATCTGGAATATTGAAAATGTGTATTCTGTGAGATATGCTGAATAGAGTTCAGGTTATTTTGGTTCATTATTTGAATTATATGCTTTTAGTTAGAACAGCCAAACCTGCATATTTTACCTTATCTTTTTTAGATAAGGATGTTAATTATAGGAAAATAAAGAATTTGGGAATTCTGGGTTGGGGAACCGTGGAATTCTGTGTTAGAGGGGCCCTCTACTTATGCAGGCCTTCTAATTGCGTTGTAATGGAAAGGGATTTTTCTCATTCCTTTAAAATGTGGCTGATTTCACTGAAATGTGGCTGTGTTTGAATGGCATTTTATTTTAGGGGTTCTAAAAGGTTAACTTCTTGTTTTATGGTCAGGACAGCGTAGAATATCAGGAGTCACACATTTTATTTTATTTTAAAGTAGTTGGCTGACTTTACCTTTATTTTTAAATTTATCTATTTATGGTTTATTTGTTTTAGAGATGGGGTCTTGCTCTGTCACCCAGGCTGAAGTGCAGTGGCACTGTTATAGCTTACTACAACGTCAGACTCTTGGGCTTAAATGATCCTTTCTCCTCAGCCTCCTGAGTTGCTAGACTATAGGCATGTGCCACCATTATGTTCAGCTTAGGAGTCATACGTTTTACTTTGTGGTAGATTCAATTTATGTGATTGGTCAAACACATTTTTTTTTAATAGTAACCCTTTAATATCATTTGATGCCTAGTCCATCAGATTTCTCCAATTGGCTAGTTGGTTTTGTTTTTGTTTTGAGACAAGAGTCTCGCTCTGTTGCCCGGGCTGGAGTACAGTGGCACTCTCTCGGCTCACTGCAGCCTCCGCCTCCTGGGTTCAAGTGATTCTCATGCCTCAGCATCCTGAGTAGCTGGGCTTACAGGCTCACACTTTTGTGCCTGGCTATATTTTTTTGTATTTGTAGTGGAGACGGGGTTTTGCCATGTTGACTAGGCTGGTCTCCAACTCCTGGCCTCAAGTGATCTGCCTGCCTCAGCTTCCCAAAGTGCTGGGATTACAGGTGTGAGCCACTGCACCCAGCTTGATCAAACACATTTTGATGCCTTAGGTTGGGTATTGTGATAATCTAATTTTTAAGTTTATTATGGCACATTTCAAACATATTAACAGATGGAATAGTGCAATAACCCCCATGTCCCATCACTCAGTGTCAGCAGCTAAAATCTGATGCCTGTAAACACACTGTTGGAAGAGGATCTAAAATGTTTGGGTTTAAATAGGTTAACTTAAAAGGCTGTGAATTCTTGAAGAAATCTCAGGGCTGATGCCACTAGTAGGTAGAGAAATTGACCAAACATCTCAGATCTTTTCCAGCCCTGTGATCTTTTGTTTAAAGTGGTGAGTCTCAGATTTTTTCCTTTGGTGATCCATTTGTTTATAATAAAAGATCCCTTTGAACCTCCTTGTCCTTCCATGCTTCCCTGGAGGAGAGACAAAACTGCTCCAAAATAAGACACCAGTCTCTGTGTCATATATAGACTTTGGGCCATAATTTATTTCATGTTAAGATAATTATAAAACTGTCAAAATTCTTTGATAGTGATTCTGCTTTTGAGAATCTACTCTATGCAGATAATCCTAATTGTAAAAAAGGCCTTAGGGCACAAAGATTTTCACTACATTATTTACCGAAGTGAAAATTTTGAAACAAGCCATATATTCAGCAAAATGGGATGGTTAATTTGTCTGCTAGATCAGATGAATCTATTCAGAGGTGTTTAGGAAAAGGTTATGGCATGAAAAAGTTCTTATGCAATATTATTACAAAAATTTATAGGCAACGTTATTATAATAGTTGAAATCAAATAGGAATTAAAATATATGGATAAAGAAAATATTCAAAGGATATCATTAAAATATTAAAGTGCTTACTTTTGTGTGTTCTTTTTTTCTTGTTTCTCATATTTTCTAAAATGTGTAATCCTTACTTTAATGATAGATATAACTTCATGACCTTTATTTTTTAAAACCTACTTTGGGAAAAATTTAGAAAGTATATCAGCATTATAAAAAGTAATGTTGATATATTCAAAGAACAAATAAAGCCAAAGGCTTTTTCTAAAGCAATGCAAATGAGCAGACCAACCCCAATTGTTTACTGCATATGTCAGGATAGATTATTTCTGTTTCAGCCTTTGAGGCAGTAGCTCAAAGGCCAGTAAGTCACACACATATAGTTATTATAAGAAAAGCAGTGCAGAAGAAAATATTAAAAAATGTTTAGCATAAAAGTAAGAGAAATTAAGTTACTGATATTTCAGGAATGGATTGATGTGCTCCCCTGGGGTCTGAATACCAGGTGGTCCCTTGTCATTATAATTGAAGAAAGAGGGAAGTTTCTCACCCCTTCTTTAACTAGCAATATATTGCAACATGGCATAGTCTATGTTATGGTGTTATATTTATAGCTATTATCTAGCAGAAGCAAGCAAACACCAAGAAAATGGGTGAGTTGACCCTTCTATTCCTGATTAGAACATTGGGTCAGTACAAGATGAAGTAGTAAAACAACATAATCCAATAAGATTGGCAAATGATTGGCCAAAAAAAAAAAAGTAGAAAATTACCAAGAGCACCACTTGAAATACTGATTTAGTTGGGTGCGATGGTGTGCCTCCATAGTCCCAGCTACTCTGGAAGCAAAGGCCAGGAGGATTTCTTGAGCCCAGGGGTTCTGGGCTATAGTGCACTGTGCTGACCTGCTATCATACCAAAGTTCTGTATCAGTAGAGTGAGTTCCCAGGACCAGAGGACCACCAGGAGGGATGGGCCAGCCTAGGTTGGACACAGAGCAGGTCAGAACTCCTATGCTGATTAGTAGTGGGATTGCCCCTGTGAATAGCCACTGCACTCCAGCTTGGACAACATAGAGAGATCCTGCCTCTTAAAAGAAAAACAAGTAAGAAGGCCGGGCGCAGTGGCTCAAGCCTGTAATCCCAGCACTTTGGGAGGCCGAGGCGGGTGGATCA